CCCTAACTTGCTTTCCCGTTAGCCTCCATCTTGTTTACTCCCAATGTGAATTTTTCTGTGTGCTAGCATGAGATGGCTTTCACTGAAATCAAAATGATGTAACTGATATTTCTATGTGACCAGTGTTTATACAGTACTATATGTGCCAACCACTATTTATTAAGAGCCTAAAACATGCTATTTTTGACTACTCCAGATAGAAAATAGTTGTGGAGAGAGAATAATTTTCCAAAACTCATATGACTAGTGGCAGAACTGGGATTTAAAACCAGATCATCTGGTACCTAGGTCTATGCTTCAATGCATAGCCTCTTATCAGCTAAGAGTATGTCATAAGAGTATGACATCACTGAAAGGTATGTCAGACTGTCCCCTCTTGCACAAGATTTTGATTTCTATGATTTCATTTACCACTGGTTAATTGCAGGTGAAAATTATCAAATGAAAAATTCCAGAAATAAACAATTCATGTGCTTCAAGTAACTTTTATTATATTACAGTTAGAATTATTCTATTTCTTATTAGTTATTACCATTACTCTCTTACTGTACCTAATTTATAAACTAAACTATCATGGTTGTAAGTACAGGAGAAAACAGCATACACGGCTCAGTGCTTCAAAGTTTCAGGCATCCATTGGGGGGCTCAGAATGTATCCCTGTGGACAGGGGAGATTACCGGATTTTATTATTTGTTTTTTTCATATGGACCTCATAATAGGCCCACTATTAGGCATTTTATGCAAATATTTTCTTTAAAAGACATCTCAAAATGACAATATATTTAAGATGGCATAAAACCTGTGTACAAGGCTTCTGCGTTATAAGCAAGACAAAAAAAATTGTGTTCTTTTTTCCTTAGGAAAATAGTAAGTGTCCTCAAAACTTATTCTATAAAAGCTTCATTTTAAAACTTCTGCAACAGTTTCCATAAACTACCCTCAATGAAAAAATATATAAACTAAAATGAAAATCTATCTACATCTTAGTGGACAATTTAGACAAAAACAATCTGGCTCTTTCTGGTAATATCAAGTACAACTGGAGCAGAAACTACTGCATATTTTTAAGTCTGCTTGGTTAGTGCTACCTAGCAAAATGTAAATTATTAACTTTTTCTCAAAGTTATTTTTTTGTTGAGTTTGGACTTCATGTAAATTCAAAAGTCAACACTATTTCATAGATTTAACAAAGAGTACCCCAGCAACAACTGGGAAATACATTTCACAATACCACTTTTCAAGCACTTATATTCACAACTGAAATAAGACCAGATGCTTCCTAGCTACATCTACATGTTTAGTGGTACTTAAAATAACAAGTGTGAAAGAAGAAAGACAGAGACAATACTCTCGGGGGAAGTTGTAAAGCCATGAAGTAGTAACAGAAGTTTCAACCTCTTAAGGTAGTTTACATTGTCATAAATCATCATCATCACAAAAGACATCACAGAAGACACTGGAACCTCTTACGTCCTTATTGTGGCAGAATCAGGAGCTTTGGTATGAAAGGTATAGATTTTCCTTTGCTTTGACCTCAAAAGGCTAAAGATTGATTTCCACCATGTTGCTTTCCCTAAATGTCCCATTTAAGGTCTGTAAGGTTTATATTTTCTTCTACTCCTCAGTTTCCTAATGTAATAAAGCTTTTCACAACTCTGCTGCCAATGTCCAAAGTAGTACAAAATTTGTATCTTTCAAGGATTTATGTCTTTCAAAGATTTTTTAGAGGGCACCTAAAGCTCATATACTTTACAATTTTATAGTTTTACAGGTTGAATATATCTTATCTGAAATGCTTGGGCTCAAAGATGTTTCATTTTCAGATTTTTAAAATTTGAAATATTTGCATATTCATAATGAGATATCTTGGGAGGGCCCATGTCAAAACACAAAATTCATTTATTTCATATATAGATATACAGACTGAACATAATTATATATGATATTTTAAACTTGTACATCAAACAAAGTTTCATGGTACGTTAGTTTTGCTATCATTGTGACAAAATACCTGAGAGAAACAATTTATAGAAGGAAGGATTTGTTTGCTCAGGGTTCAGGGGTTTCGGTCCATGATGCAGGAAGGAGGGGGTGGGGCAGCTTACATCATAACAGACAAAAAGCAGAGCAGAGCTGGACCAGGAAGGGGCCAGGGCAAACTACAGCCCCAAGGACATACTCTCCAATGTCCTACTTCTACAATTCTAATTGTCTGTTCATATTTTCACTCCATCAATGGATTAAACCATTCATTAGGTCAGAGCCCTTGTGATTAATCATTTCTGGAAAGTCCTCACAGACACACACAGGTGGGCTTTCCTAATCTCCCTGACATCTCTCAATCCAGTCAAACTGACAGTCAGGATTCACCATCATCTATGGTGTGGAATTTTCCACCTGTGGGTGATATTGGAGCTCAGAAGGCTTTGGATTCTGGAGCATTTCTGATTTCTGAGTTTTGGAGTAGGGCATTCAACCTACATATTGTCTAAAGTCTTTTCTAGACCCTTTTATTTTCCTTACATATTTCAGTTCCCTTTCATGCAAATTTTTGAATGCTACTTATTAGTGCTGTGGTTTTTAGTGACTGCCAGCATTCTAGGTTTTGAAGTACTAGAATAATGTTTAGTTTTTTTCTTGGCCATGTCATTGAAAAGAGCAGACATCAAATTGTCATCTTCAGAGAGCACCCTACAACTATTTCTTCCTTGGAACCAACAATAAGTGGTCAGAATTCATCAACCTGTATCTATTGGTTAAAATCATTTTTTCCCTAAAGTACACAACCCTGTAATTTTTTTTCTGCTGCTATGACTCTTCCAGCAGTTTACCCTCATCAATGTGTTATTTGATACTCAATTTACCAGTTAGTTTAACTAACCTCATGCAGTTATTTAGTGCCTGCTGTCTACAAGGAACTGCAGAAGGCAACCTAAATCTAACGAAAGCAATATGATTATGCCCTATCATCACAAAGTTTATATGGGCAGAATTTCATCTTATGTTTTTTCAGTAGTCAAGGTACAAATATGGCAAAAGCTGTTTAAAACCACATGACAATAAGGCAAGAGATAATACTATTTAGAAAAATTTAATTCTCATGTAATCGTTGTGAGAAGGGCAAGAAGACTTGAATTAGATTTCTAATTAGGCTGAATTAGAGATCTCTGTAATTGAGATTTCACTCTCCATTCATCTGTTTCCTTACAAAAGCACAAAAGAAACAAGTTCCAATAACAGAAATATGATAGTGTTGAATTCTGTTATAAAGGCAAGAAAAAAAAATATGAGTGACTGCTAAGTGGGAAAGACCACAAAAGAGGATCAGAATAGGTTGTCATCTGTGACCAAGAGAAGTATTTATGAATATCTAGTCTAAGAAAAACAGTGACAGTATTAAACATAATAGCAATCGTACCTGAGAAATGAGATAACAACAAGCTGCATATTTTAGCCAACGGCATCTCAGGTAGACCAAGGAGTTTTTTTAAAAAACAAAGTACCATTTCTGCCTAATGAATTTCCATGTTAAAGTGTTAATTTGAAGCCAGAGGACATTGGGGACCACTCTCCTGGTCAATTCACTTGAATTTGAAGGTCAAAATCAAACAGTATCTTTTGTAAAAAATCTGTCTGCTGTTTCATTTTGCACTGCTATCCTCGACAAACTGTGCCCATGATTCCCCAACATGTTTCTTTAGAGAGCGAATAATTTTTCTTTGGGGGATGTCACCTAATTGTTAATTTGCACTTGTACTTCTCGTCTTTGACCAGCAAATTTCACATAGCATTCCTATTACCACATTAAAGCTTTCAATTTGGGGAACTATCAAGATGCATTTCTTTTATGCAATTCTTAATACATATACTTACTTAATCAGTTCTATGGCAAAAACATTCATGTTATAATATTTCTGAAACTGGAATGCCTTTTACAACCAATGGATAATTATTTAGCAATTATTTCTTTATTGGTGAAACACAATATTTAAACTGCTGTTTGTTTCTGTCAGAGTAGTAAAGGAGGCAGGAGAACCTGACATATAGAAACAATGGGAAAGAAATTCCTGAGTTAACTGGTATTTTTCACTTTTCACTGGCTTAACATTGAACCTTTATTTCACTGACCAGGCCAAACTTGCTTTAAAGATAATGAGAGTAAAAAACACTGTGGATGCCAGAAAGAATCAACAGCTAAATGTCCTAAAAATGACGTTGCTGAACTAAATTTCATTATTCAGTAGTGCTGAATTGAAGGGAATGCAACTAATGTAGTCAGTACTTCACCTGAATGGGAAAAGAATGCATTTGCCCTCTCAGCTAACAGTCTAGTAATCATTTCCTCATAACTTCTTCACTAACCTTAAACGCAGCTTCCAAACGACTGCAGTTACAGAAACCTTCACAAAGGAGCGTCCTGAGCCTTCTGTTAAAATCCAAAGTTTTGGACTTAAACACAACATAATCACTTTCAAAATCCTATAAAATTCAAAGTAAAACATTAGTTGACAGGAAAGAATGTAACAGTGAAGATAGCAGTCACATAAGCACAACCACTCTCTCCTCTCTTTTGCATGAGTTCATTTTCCATACCACGATTCCAGGGGAGATCAACAGACAGCTTTATCTGATTGTGCGAGTGGCCACCTTCTAGGGACACTGACTGTTTAGTGCTGTCACACCATGTTTTCACACTCCTTCTCACTAGCTCAAACCTGACATCAGGACTTCGACCCACATCCTTACACATGAGCACAGGTCTGCCTTTCTTCCTCCATTTCTTTTGATTATAAATGAAAATTAAAGCTTTTTCAGAAGAGACTATCTTTATTATAACTTTAGACTATCTATAAATTTGAATAGGAAGCATTTTTTCATGGAATGGAAACCTACATGTGAGAACTAAAATCTGCAAGTTTGAGAGAAAATATCATTAGTGGTACAGAAGTAGCTGAACTACTAATATTTCCCCAGTTTCTTATTAATATGAAGCTAACCACCCTCAGTTTCCTCCCAAAACATATCCACCCACTCCATAATTACAAGGAAGGAAATGGTGAGCAAACTGTGATCATCTTCATAGCACCACAAGTAATTCCATCTTTGGGGAAGCTATCCCTGGAATGCATAAACGCCCTCTTGCGTAGAGCTGGGCACCCAGAAGTGCACGCTACAGATTTAACTTAATGAAGGCTTTTGTCACCTCAGAAACTGTGTCCCATCTATTAACAATACTGCTGAGAACTATAATAATAATAATGACAGCTACATTCATTTACTTCTGTTCTAAATGCTTTGTGTTAACTCAGTCCTCACAACAACATATGACAGATAATATTTGTTCTGTTTTGTAAGTGACACAACAAAGTCAGAGCAGTTAAATAATTTGTTGGACAAATGCAAGGCTCTGAGTTCAAACCCCAGTACCACCAAAAACAGAGAATTTTTTGCACAAAAACATACCATTGATAAATGACAAGGCCATAATATAAAGCCAGATTATCTGGCACAACCATGAGGCTGTTTCTACGAAGACCCACACCTGTGACAGTCTGATGTTTGTGTCACCTCAACACTCCTATTTTGAAATTTTAATACATTATGAAGTGGTGCCTTTAGGAGGTGATTAGTCAGTGAGGGCAGGGCCTTTGAATGAATAGGCTTAGTATCCTTATAATGAGGGCCGAGAGAGACTCCTCAGTCCACCTGCTACATGAGGACACAGCCAGAGTTGCTATGAACCAGAAAACAGCCCTCACCAGAAAATGGCCCTCACCAGACACTAAATAAACTGTTCCTTCATCTTGGAATTCCCAGCCTCCAGAATTGTGAAAAGTAATTTTCTCATGTTTATAACCCATGCAATTTATGGTATTTTTTACAGCACACTGAACAGTCCGAGAAAGTACCTTACACTGAATTTATTAACTCAGTTAGCAAAACAGAGTGCAACATCAAAGTCCTAGAACACTGTGTCATATACTACAACATTACATTTGCCATCAAGAACAAGACTCCACCTCTGAATTACAGCCAGTCTCTTCATTCAAGGATCACTGACTTTTAAAAGTAAACACAACTTCCTGAACAACTTTTAACAAGCCTAACACATCCCTCTTCTCGGTAGATTAACAAAGGGTACAATTTATAATCCTCCAAAATTATTTTAACACTTAAAGATAAGAAACAACTCAGGGAGGGAGAAATGCTGGTCTCCATCCCAGATATCTCCTGCTCACCCCCCATGTGACCTTGAAATCACAGTGATCTTGTACAAATCTGAGCCCATCATCTTCTCTATAAAGTTGCTCCTTTTATATACACACTCTAACAGAAACTTGGGGTCACCCTTTGACTCCTTTCTCTCTGACAGGTGCTGTCCATCTTCTCTCCTGTCTCCTCACTGTGTTCCTGTTTTCCATCTCTCCTGGCACTGCTTTGGCCTGACCCACCATGACTGTTCATCTGGATTGCTTTAGCCACTGTCTACTCTCTTTGCCACTAGCCTTGTCTCATTCACCACCCCCCAAATTGTAGCCTAAGTAATCTTTCGAAAATGGAAGTCTTGGGCTGGTGGCACAGTTCAAGTAGTAGAGTACCAGCCTAGCAAGCGCACACCTCAAATTCAAACCCCAGTACCTCCCAAAAAAATGAAGTCTTGTGTCACTCTCTGACTCATACCCTTTATTATTAGCATATTATAGTTGTACATTATGACTTTTATGTAAGGCTTATAATATATCTTAGATTCACCCTCCATCTTTCTCCTTTCTCCTCTTTCCCCATTCTTAGAACAATTTCCACAGGTCTCATTGTTCTATCTCATACATGAATAAAAATCCTTCCACTGTCTTCACCCTCCTTCACCCTTTCCTTATGCCCTCCCCTCTCCCACTGGTACCCTCCCCCTAGGCAGGACCTGTTTTTATCTTCCTGTCTTTCATTTGTGAAAAAAGAACATTTTTGTTAGTTTGTGATAGTTATTCAGGGGTTTTGTTGTGACAATTCCATATATACATGTATTATACCCTGACCAGTTCATTCTCTCCATTATTCTCCCTCCTATCCCATTCCTCTTCTGGCAGTGACTTCAACAGTTTTCAGTGTTTCACATTCACACGTGTATAGAAAGCACATCAACCGTATTCACTCTCTTCATTTACCCTCCTCATAATCCTTTAATTTGTGATCTCAGTTCAAAGTCCTGAATTTCTTAAGATAAAGTCTGAAAAACTGAGCATAATCCACAAGGCCCCATGTGGCTGAACCTTACTTATTGCTTCTGCCTACTCAGGTAATTCTCCAAAGTTCACAGTTTAGGATCTAGCCATGCCCACCACATCTCTCCCTCTTTCCCTCTTGCTTCCTTTCTATTTATTTTCTGGGTCTCCATGTCTTTTCATCTCTGGAAAAGTACCTTTTGCAAATGTTCTCCCCGCACTCTGTTCTCGTCAAACCCTAGCCCTGAGCACTGCATAGTAGTTGCCTGCCTGTATTCTCCCCTGGATTTTTAAGTCTTTAAGCCTAATGGCCAGGCTTTTTTTTTTTTTTTTTCCCACAGTTACAGTACCAATATTTCACAGAGTTCCCGGCTCATAGCTGTTTCTCAATAAATATTTATTGGATAATAAATGATGAGCTAGTATTACTTGGGAGTCATTGCAAAAATGTTTCCATTTTCTGGAAACTACGAAATTGCCTTTATTAGCACACGGGAAACTATCAAAGGGTTTTAATCAGAGAAAAGGCCTGGTTTGACTTACACGTAAAGGCACTCAAGTTGCTGGGTGGAAAAGAGATTAATGGAGCCAAGACAGGCCAGAGGGAGCAGTTTAGGGGCAAAGCAATAAACCAGGTCAGAAATGAGTCATAGGTACATTTGTAGGGCCTATCTGGAAGAACTGAATGTTTGTTGTGAAAAAAATGGAGTCAGATTACACAACTCAAGATTGCCTGTCTTGAAGACAGGTAAGAGTAGGTTTGGGGATGGGCAAAGAAAGGATCTGGCTCTGACATGTTAATTTTCAGATGTCTATTAAATATCTCAGTGCAAATGGTGAGTAGGCAGTTGAATGCATGCTATGTGTTCAGGACTCAATGAAGGAATTTCATTGTTAAATATCACGTGCTCAATTTTTGATAGGTGTTCTTTATCAAACCATGGAAGTTCTCTATTCCTATATTTCTAAGGGTATTTTTTATTATTATTAGCATACGACAGGTGTACAAGGGTTTACATTGTGATGTTTGTATTCTGAGAGTCTTTTGTTGTTGTGAATGGGTGTTGAAATTGGTCAAATTCATTTTATGCATTGATTAACACAACTATAATCTTTTTCTTTTCTGGCCTATTAATATGGAAATTATGCTAGAAACTCCAAATATTAATTTCAAATTCAAATCAAATACTAAAACAGCCTTGTATTCCTAGGATAAATCCCTACTGAACATAGTGTCTAATTATTTTCATTTTGGTGGGAAAAATAAAATTAGAACTTTCAAAAATATTCTTATATCCTGAATTGCATTTGACAGTAATTTGTTAATTTGTATAGTTTTCCTTTTTCTTTTTTTTTTTTTTTTTTTGCATTAACTTGCCTGGTTTCAGTTTCCAGATTCATAACAAACTGGGAAGTCCTCCCTCCTCTTCTGCTTCTAGAAGAGTTTATGTAGAATTGGTGGTAATTCTTAAATATTTGGTAAAATTCTCCAATAAAACATCTTGGTGGATTGACCCTTTTGTCATTATATAATGTCTTTCTGTAGCAATTTTCTTTGCTATGAAATCTACTTTATCTGGCTTTTTTAGCCATTAAGATGTTCCTTTGATTAATAGTTGTATGTGCTTTCTTCTGTCCAATTATTCTTAATCTGCCCATACTATTTTTGAAGACAATTTCTTGAAGAAAGCTTATAATTGGTTCATGTGTTTTAATCTACTCTGTCAATCTCTGTTTTTGAGTATATTTAAATAATGTATAGTTAATATATTTTTTGTTGCAGTAGGACATAAGTCTGCTATTTCACTTTTTTTTTTTTTTTCACTTTTCTCTCTCCATATTTTCTTTTTTTCTATCTCACCGTGTTAGTCAGATTTTTGTCACAGTGACAAATACCTGGTTATGGGAGGAAGACTTTACTTTTGCTCACGGTTTCAGAAGTTACAGTCCATGGTCAGTTGGATGCATTGGTTCTAGGAGTGTGGTGAGGTAGAACATCATGGCATAAGGACATGATTGGGCACAGCCATTCACTTCATGGCAACCAGGAAGGACCAGGGAGAGAGGGAGAGGGAGAGAGGGACACAGAGAGAGGGAGAGAGGGAGAGAGTGGTAGAGGGAGAGAGAGGGAGAGAGAGAGAAAGAGAGGGAGACAGAGAGAGAGAGGGAGGGAGAGAGAGACAGGGAGAGAGGGAGAGGGAGAGAGGGAGAGGGAGACAGAGAGAGGGACAGAGTGGTAGAGGGAGAGAGAGGGAGAGAGAGGGAGAGGGAGAGAGAGGCAGAGGTAGATAGTTAATATGGTCAGAGAACACATGGGCCCACCTGCATCAGAATTACCTGGTCTAATTCCTTAATAGTTGAAGCAAGAAGTTCCAGTCCCCCCAGAAAACAGTAAAGGAATTATTTAGAAAAATTAGAACAGAACTGGAGGTATGGCTCAAGCAATAGAGTGCCTACTTTGCAAGCACTGAAGCTCTGAGTTCAAACCCCAGTCCCACCCAAAAAAAAAGAGCGAGAAAGAAAAAATTGTAACAGTTCTGTATATATTTTTGCTTTCTTCACTCTGTTTTCAAAGTGAAATGGCAAGAAACTATTTTCATTTAATAAACTTCTGTCCTTCTCATTATCTTCACAGTTCTTTAGGCCAAAATGACTTCTCTGTATAAACAAATATGAATATTAAGTACTTACATCTGTGTATTTATAATCACTGTTGGTGGCAAGAAATACTTTCCCTACTTCATTCATCCGGCTCAGAAGCAAAGGCAGTTTTCCCTGAAATACAAAATGATAATGAACAAAATGCTTAAAAAGTTTTGTGGGGGAAGGGCGCCTAGTACTGGGGTTTGAACTCAGAGCCTCACCCTTGGCTAGGCAAGCACTCTACCACTTGAACCAAGCCCCCAGCTTTGCATAGTTTTGTTTTTTAGATAAGGTCTCAGGCTTTTACCCAAGCAAGCGTTGGACTGTGATCCTGCTACCTTCACCTCCTGAGTACCTGGCATTGGAGATGTGTACCACGCCATGCCCAACCATTATAAATATCTTCATATTTACATTTTGGGGTAGTCATATACTGGAATCTGTCCACTGAAAAAGGAATAGGGTAAGTTTTTTAAGGATTAGCTGTTTGCATTTAGAAGTCCCAATTATCACTATCTATTAATAAAGTATCAACATGCAGTATACACAGTGTTTCTAACATATAGATTTGTATGTAACGTGATTATAAAATCATTAACAACAGATCTTTACCTTCCTCATGTCTGCCTCAGGAAAGAGTTTAAATTACCTTGTGATTTCCTGAAGTATGTGATCTAGGTGTGTTAGAGATTAGGAGAAGTTGATTTTAAACATCACCAGCAAATTCTCCGTATGAAGATTATTAGATTTGGCTATACTGTGTATACTATGGTTTTATAAAACACCTTTGCAGAATGAAATGACGTGTGACCAACACATGTGAGGGATTTTCACATCTACCTGCAGATAAATAAGGAAAGCCTAACTCCTGTTGTGCCTGGAAAGAAAAACACCTTTTTCTTCATTCACTATATGTTCCTTCATACAAATTCCCCCAGACCTTACCACTCAGTGTTCTTTTTTGAAATGGTAAGAGGAGGGGAGTGGAGACAGGAAGCACAAAACCTGAAAACAAGAAACCTTCACTGCATTCTGCTACTCTTACTCTACAGAAAAAGAAGGCGCTCATCTTGGAATTGTGTGTTTGCTTTCTTAAAAAATAATTTTAGACTTAGCCAAAAGTTGTGAAAATAGATTCATATATATGTTTGTATATATATTCCTTCCATATATTCTTCATTCATATTATGAATATTATTCCTTAATATTAACATTTAACTATAATATAATTACCAAAACTAAGAACACAGAAAGTGGAAGACAGTTCCAAAAGATAAACATATGCACATTTACTACTCTGTGGCACTTGGAGGAGGGAAAGGAAAAGAGAATGATGGAGGCAACAATATCAAATGCATACATTTTGATAATGTAATGGTGGGCACTGGTGGCTCACACATGTAACCCTAGTTACTCAGGAGGCAGAGATCAGGAGGATCGAAGTTTGAAGCCAGCCCAGACAAGTAGTTCATAAGATCCTATCTCAAAAAAAAACCCATCACAAAAAAGGGCTGGTGTAGTGGCTCAAGGTGTAGCTCCTGAGTTCAAACCCCAGTACCACAAAATAAACAAACAAACAAATGGATTACATCTGTGCAGGTAGAGGACATAACCATATGTATTGGAAACTGCTGAATAATGGGGGGGGGTGGGAGGGAAGGGATAAGGGAGAGTAACAGAGAGGGGTTGAACTGACCAAAGTAAAGTATATTCACAGCTGGGATACATCAACAAACTGCTTTGAACATTGACTTTGGAATTAAAATGGAAGACAGGACTATAAAAGGTATAGTGTGTGATGGGGGAGGGTACTTTTGCGAAGGGGGGGGTGAATGGAGGAGATGAAGGAATGTGGTTGATGGGCTTCATATACATACATGAAATAAAACGATGAAACCTTTTGCAATTGCCTTAAGTGGAGTGGGGAGCGAATTGCAGCGGGGCAAGGAGACGGTAAGGGCAGCCTAACCAATGTACAATGTAAGGCTATTGAGAATTGGCACAATGAATCCCCCCATACAATGAATATATGCTAATAAAAATGAAAAAAAAAAAAGCAGTGGCACAAATTGCTGAACCAGAAGTACTGATTAAATTCAATCTACTCAAAAAAATTAACATTGGTAAAACTTACTAACTTTGGTAAAGATTGTTAGCTTCAGTTTGTATAAAAAGGTTTTAATCAGGTTTTCCACTAATGTTTTTTTTTATTTTTGGTGGTAATGGGGTTTGAACTCTGGGCCTTGCGCTTGGCAGACAGGCACTCTATCATTTGAGCCCCACGCCAGCCCTCCACTAATCTGTTAAGGTATGTTAAAGCTTTTCTCATTATTTCCTGTTGTCAGGCTGAAGGCATTTTAAATAACAGTCACACATTTTTTAGTCAATCTGTGCAGTGCTTATGATGTGAGTTAGATGTGGGTGTGAATCTTGGCTTTACTACTAATTAACTATGTCACCTTGGGCAAGATATCTGTCATCCCTCTAGTCCTCAGTTTCTTTATAAAACAGAGTTATTTTACTTTATAAAGTAAAACAATACTTAACTCAGAGTTACACAGAAGGTTAAATGATATAGTACACAGCATGGTGATGTGCACAAAATAACCTTCTAGCTGCTATTACGATAATCAAACCAAAAGGACAAAGAACTACTGGATCTTCTTGCCTATACATATGCAGGAAGAACTACTAAGACCTGCGCTCTTGCTGAAAATTCTTGATGATTATACCTGGCACACACTACGCCAAAGAAATATCTTCTCTTGTCCATTTCACTCTAAATATGATTGTTACTCATTTCTTTAATGAGTAAAAGAAGCTACTGCATAAATCTATTTCCCCTTTTAATACTTACATCTTTGACAACATACTTCTCAAGATTTTCAACTGTCTTTTCCTTAAGGGAGCCCTGGAGAAAGACAAAAGAACTAAGAATAAAATTAGTTAACATTTAGTTGCTAAGAAAAATCATGTTTACTATAAACCTCAAAGAATTTATGTGTTTACCAAAATGAAAATCAAATAAAAAGGCCAAGAAAAAGTAGCTTCAAGCCAGGCCTTGGTGGTTCATAACTGGGTGGCTGAGATAGGGAGGATCGAGGTTCAAGGCCAACACAAGCACACAGTTCATGATATCGCATCTCTAAAATAACCAGAGAAAAATGGACTGGAGGCATAACTCAAGCGACTGAGTACTTGCTTTACAAGTGCAAAGTCCTGAGTTCAGGTCCCAGTCTGACAAAAAAAAGTGAATTCAAATATAAAATTATTTCTATTTTAAATTAGAAATTAAAAGACATTTCATATTTTACTTAATACAGTTTAAAGTAAATGCAAATTTAATATTAACTAAATGTTCTTATTCAAGTAGGAAGTATTAGGACAAATAATAGGCTATCATCCACAAAAGATATAAATATAATTCCATATAGTAACTCTTCTAATTAGTGATGCAAACTCATTAACATCTAGAAGCTGAGTATCACAACTGAAGGAATGAGCAGCAGGATGGCCAAACAAGAACAAATGGATTCCAGAGAACTAGTATCACAAGAAGGTGAGTCCCATGATCTCCTCCCTACCCCTTTAAACCAAGGAAATTCTGCTCCACTTGTCCTCATGAAGTTATTGCCAGAGTGTGAGCAGCATCTAGATACCTTGTAATGAACCCAGTCAACAGCATCTCTTACATCCTGGAACATACTCCGGTAGGACATGAAGAGGTCCCCATCTTTAAATTCTGTCTCACAGCTATAGAAAGATGAAAAGAACATGACAAAAAATCCAAAAGAGTAAATAAAGTGAGTATCAAAAATTGCCCAGGGTGTCCAAAGGTTCCATATCACATGTGTATATGCTGTGGCTAATTAGTAAAATAATTACTCTCTAATGAAAATCCATTTTTGACCACTTAGAAACAGCCATAGTGTTCAATGGAATATAGTAATGATCAACAAATACAAAGTGATAGAAAAATGTATTGAATGGAAAGTGAAAGGCCAAAGTTCCAAAATATCAGATTCTTTATTTCTTTTTAGAAACAGGTTACCACTGAAGAAACATTTAAAACTTAAAATTGCTTGTTTAGATCCTTTCCACCCTCACTTTCTGACATTGGCCCTAGGTACAAAGGTATTGTCCAATTTCTACTGAGCTTTGTAACTCAGCTTTCCACCAAATTTAATGTCTTGAAGTTGGAGAAGGCCTAAGACAAGAAGTTAGCAAACTCCGGCATATGTGGCTATACTTTCAGCAGTGCTATACAATTCCCCTCAAAATGAAAAGGAAAGCTTTTTAAAGACTTAAGCAAAATTTTGCTTTTAGAAGATACACAGTATTTATTCCTCAATGAAATCTTGCTGGGCCTGGGAATGAAACTAAATTACCATCCCTGAATGGCTCCTGGGTAGCTGCTGTGAAATGAGTTGGGGGGTTTTAGTGTAATTCTGCTTGGACAGATAATCATCACACAAACCTCCCACTCAGTTGTCACAATTAGCACCTCTGCTGGCGTCTTCATTCCCAGGAGAAGCCAATCAGAAGTGGTCCCTTCCAAACATGGCTGCAGCACACTGGCAAGGAGAGGGGCCGTGTGGGAGGTGAGAGCCTGCATGGAGCTGCTGGTGCTGTCCCATCTCTCAGGCTGGCAATGTGGCATCTTTCACTAGCACTAAATTCACTTTAGAAAAGCAGAAAAGACCTACAATGGCCAGTTCTCTAAAACCCTGTACATTAATTTTAAAAATCAACTAGAAAAAGAAAATTGTAGTATACACATACCTGGTATATCTGGGACAATTAGTAAAAAATCTACTAGGCAGGCCAACAGGTAGGTCTCTGAAAAATGAAGAATAGATATTCATAAGCTCTAAATGAAATAATTCAAACGTATTTCATTACCTCCCTTGAACAAAGACAAACGGTCATAGAAAGAAGGGACAGCATCAGTACATATAAGCAAAGAATGAGTCTACCTGGTAGATTGAATAGTGTGTTCAGAATGTAAAATCGTTCAGTGTCATCTCGTTGAATAAATTTATTTGGATACTGCTCTCTAGTTTCTGGTCTGAAAGAAAAATTTTTAAATTAACTGACATTTATAATATTAACATAATTGTGGTAAATAGTCATTACTCAAAAATTGATTCAAATATTTTGATGCCTATGTGCAAGACAGGGTTCCAAATTAAACATGAAGGTAAACAAGCTCTGGCTCTAAACTTTTAAGAAGTCAGTTCTCAGTCTGGTAGGGGAGGTGAGGCACATACACATACAATAATAACAGGATAAAAAAATCACAATTATTACAAGAAAGTTGCAAAGAGGTAGAAGAAAAGTAAGGGGAAACTATTTCAATTTAAAGGTAGAAGGAAGTGAATGTGAAGAATGAGGCAAAGACAACTACCAAGGATTCATGTAAGTGCCACATAAGAGCTGGGTTCTAAAGTCTAAATCTATCAGTTCAGAAGCTAGTCCAAATTTAGTAGAGAAAGGAGAAAAGAGAAAATTATAATACACTTCAGAATAAGAGAATGCAATTTACAGTTGTTAAGCATGGGGATTAAACCTGTCAGAACTAAATTGTAAAAAGATTATTAAACTGGTAGCTAGTTTAGGATAAACTGGAGAAAGGAAATGTGATGTATTGTAAAAATGGCTACAAATTCTTTCTGCCTCTTTGAAATGCAACTTTGTGTCTCCTCCCATTAGAGGCTCAGTTTATTTCTCCATCCTTGAACACAGGTGTAAACAGCAACAAATGAGATTCAGAGACTTGGAAAACACTTGTGCATTAGGACTTACCCTCTCCCACTACACTTGGAACTCTGAGACTACTCTGTGAATGCGAGTGAGATACTCTGCTAGAAGATAAAAGGGTACATGAAGAAATGAGGCACCCAACCCAAACCTGCCAAGTGACAGACATGTGAAATGAGGTCATTCTAGATCAGATGCTAAGTAATTAAATAGTCCAAAGAGATCAGGTGAGCAACCCCAGAACTGCCCAGCCAACTTTCAGATTTTTGTTTTTTGAGACAGTTTCGTTATGCAGCTCAGGCTGGCCTTAAACTCATGATCTTCCTGCCTCAGCTTCCCCAGTTCTGGGATTATAGGCATACATCACGCCCAGCTAACTTTCAGAATTTTGAGCTAAATAAAATAGTCACTGTCTTAAGCCACCATGTTTGGAATAATTATGCGGCAAAAGCTAACTGATACAGAGACAAAGTAATGGGAAATCAGCAAGGTGGTTAATCCAGTAGTCTAGGTGAGAACAGTAGGGCCTGTTCTAGTCCAGTGTCAAGGAAAATAAAGAAAATGTGTACTTTTCTTTTTGGAAGGGTAGGGAGACAGTGCTGGGGATCAAGCCCAAAATCTTGTGTATGCTATGCTAGGTAAGCACTCTATCTCTGAGCTATATACCCAGTTCAGGGAAAAATGTATTCAAAAAGATTGCCAAGGGAAATGAGTAAGAACAGGCAACTGATTGGATTGGCAGATGAAGGATATAAGAGTTAGAGATGATGATGCTTATACTAATGTCTTTGAGAAGTGATTGGTACTGTTAATAAACATATGAAAAATGGATAAGAAGTAGATGTAAGAAGAGTTCTACTTTGACTACACTAACTTGACATAAACAGATTTTTGGCATGCAATTAGACACAAAGGTCAGGAATTTAAAACAAGGCCGGCATAGTGGTGCATACCTGTAATACCAGCTCTGGAAGCTGAAGCAAGAAGATTGCCAGTTTGAGGCCAACCTGGACTATATAGAGGCAAAACTCTAGTCTTAAGTAAAAATTAAAAGAGAGACTCAGATTTGAGAGATAAAATCATGAAAACTATTAGAATAAAACAAGGTAGAACATTCAGAGTTAAAAAAAAAAAAAGCCAGTGAAATGGACAGAAGTCGTTGGAGATATACAAGAAGCTTGAAGAAGGGAACGATATTAATAAAAATGGATCAGAGAAACTAAAAGGGAGGAAGAATAAAAATAGAAAAATGTACAATTCTCACAGTGACTATAAGCAAATTAACAAAGTTAAATAAAAGAAAGCAAATATATAATGCTTAGGGTGACTTAGGTAAATTCTTGCTTAGGTTTGTTAATTACAAATGGCACAAACGAGTTAGGCACATAAAATGTTAGCTACCTGTCTTAGTCACCTCTTAGTCATCCTTATGAAATAAAGAGTTTCTAATTAAAAAAAAAACTTTGTAGTATTAAGACCTCATCTTCTGGCCTTTCAAGATTTTCTATAATGACAAATAAGGTAGAAGGGAATAGTAGCAATATATTGTCTTCAGTCAGGTATTGTAAGATGACACTATCTCCTTAGTTATAATACTCTCCTGTTACCTCCATCATTAAAGAGCAATTCCTTTAATAAAGATAGTTCACAGTTAGTTTTTAGGCAGTTACAACTCAAACTGACTTAGCAATTCCACTTCAATTCAAAGAGAGGTAATGTATCATAAAAGAAGGAGAACTGGGGCTGGCGGTGTGGCTCAAGTGGTAGAGCACCTGCCTAGCAAGGGCAAAACCCTGAGTTCAAAGTCTCGTACCATCAAAAAAAAAAGGGGGGGAAAGGTGGATGAAACCTTCCCAGCCTGTCAGATATGTCAAGGTGGATGTTTACTTCACACTGCTCTCACAATGTACACCTGAGACATGAGTAATGTCAGTAAAGAATATTGTATTAGATACTTCAATTTTAAGTGGGGTACTCAGATTTAAGGGAAGAGCTGGTATAATTTCAGTTATCCTCTTATCACAAAAAAGTACTTGCCAAAAGACATCTTTTCAATAGTTTCAGTGTGACTAAAAAAAACAAAAGTAGTTTTTACTACTTTTCCATCAAGAATGACGTGAGAAAGTTACAAGAGAATTATATAACCTATTTTGGTTTTAAAAATTGCTGTTCTGAGAATGAGCTCCTCAGTTACTCATCTTGATAGTGTGGCATCTTGACTTGTGGATATTCCCTAGTACATGAAACAGCACCACAAGTAAAAACCAGTTCAAAGATGCCCTGTGCAGAAAGTCAGTGCCCTGTCTTGACAAAGTGTTACTTAAGCACTGGATTAGTCTACATTTGAGGAAGATGTCATGGTGAAATGTTTCTGCTCTCCTTTTCCAGGAGTTTTTGAGTTTGTGCTCTAATTAAATTAATTTTACACTTACACACACACACACACAAATGCTGCTCTGAGCCAGGTGCTGGTGGTTCCCAGCTACTCAGGAGGCAGAGATCAGGAGGATTGAGGATTGAAGCCATCCTGGAGCAAACAGTTCTAGAGACCCTGTCTTGAAAACAACACATTATAAAAAAGGGTTGGTGGAGTGGCTCAAGTGGTAGAGTACCTGCCTAGCAAGTGTAAGGCCTTGGGTTCAAACCCTAGAGTCCCTCTGCCCCCTGCAAAAAAAAGTTGCTATTCTGACCCTATTACAATGTCAATAGTAAATAAGTAGAGAAACTGTCAAATTGTGGTACTTTGATCTGTAAAGAAAAAAAATTGAAAAAAAAGAAAAAAAATAGGAATGCTTCACCAAAAAAATAGTAGCTACTAAATTTTATCTATTGTTTATTAGAGTGGAAAAGTCCAAATCAGTAACAACAGTGGAAATATTCTAACTATGAAAACACAACTTATACAGTTTTTTTTTCTTCTTTTTTGCAATACTGGGTCCAAACCCAGGGCCTGTACATGCTAGGCAAGCACTCTACCACTGAGCTACATCCTAGTCCGTATTATCTTTTCTTTTGTGTGACAGGGTCTCATTATACTATTCAAACTTTCTTTGTGATCACATTCCTGGGCTCAAGGATCCTCCTGCCTCAACTTTCCAAATAGCTAAGACTACAAGCAAGCAACACTATACCTGGGATTTACCCTGTATTCAGGGTACCCTCTATTTTAAATGTTTTGTGTGTGTGTGTGTGTGTATGTATGTGGTACTGGAGTTTGAACTCAGGCTTTGAACCATATACCCCACTGCCTTTTGCTCTGGTTATTTTTGAAATAGGGTCTCACTTTTTTACCTACATCAGCCTCAGGCTCCTATCCTCCTACTTAAGCTTCCTGCACAGCTGAGATGACAGGAACAAGCCACCACACCCATCTTTGGTTGTTGAGATTGGGATCTTGCTAACTTTTTGCCCTAGTTGGCCTCGAACCGCATTCCTCCTGAGTAGCTGGGATTACTGGTATGAGCCACCACACCTAGCCTTATGTGTTTGAATCACACAAATGTCTCAAGCTATTCATTAAAATATAAAAAATAATGTATTAGCTATTAAAAATCTCTTAGTCATTTAAATTGCTACAGTTTAAAAGTTTTCAAAGCACTTTTATGTACATATCTCTTCTATGCAGCTACCTGAGAACTGTATTAAAAAGAAAATAAAAATCTTAGAATTTCAAAAAGTCTAAACTATACTTCTGTTTTAAGCAAGTTTTTGGGATTAGCTTTCTTGAAAGATGCTGTATAATTAGAAGGCATTTAATTTAAACAAAATGTAATTACTAACTATATTAATAAGTAAGTTTGGTTTTAACTGCCCAATAAATGTTAACTAGCCTTATGTAAAGGAAAGGCTCTTTAATGGTGGAAGGAATAGGAAAGTACAGTACACTTGTAGAGACAATGTCATCTTCATATTGTTTAACTATAAAATACTAGGAAGAGATGGCTGGAAGTAGGCTTCAAGTGGTAGAGCACTTGCCTAGCAAGTGTAAGGCCCCGAGTTCAAACCCCAATACCTCAAAAAAATTTAAAAAAAAGAAAGAGGTTACAGGTTCTTTGTACTCACCCTCTTATGAAGTTAAATCCATGTGCACAGACCAACAGGTTTCCATAGGCATCAACTTTCAAAAGATTTCCATATAGTGTGTCAAAGACAAGTCCTCTGCACAAAAATGATCACATCACTGATAGTACAAAGTAATACAAGTAATAATTTTATGTAGTACTACTCAATCACCATGAACCAATCTCTAATTCAAGCTCTGTAGCAACTCAGGTATTTCCCAAAATAGTATAACTTTGAAGACTAAAGTGAGTGAATATAATCTTAAAAACGAGTTCAGGGACTAGGGATATATAGGGATATAGCGGTAGAGTGCCTGACTGGCACGTGTGAAGCATTGGGTTTGATCACCAGCACTGAAAAAAAAAAAAAAGACAAAAACAAAAAGAATCCTAGAGCAACTAAAACATTTTTTCCACATAGATAAGAAGTCACAATTGTTTTCTTTTGGGAGTAAGACTCAATCAAACAGGTATAAAGTAGAATTCTTCTGATTCATTCTAAAAGTCTTTACATTTCCTTGGACAACAGAGCTGGCCTATATTTTCCTCTATTAAATGTTGCATGTGGGACATATATGATAGTACTTCACATAAACACCATTTTTCTTCATCTTAAATCTTTCTTACCAAATTCAGAAATGCAAACTTCCAAGAAGGGTTTGATTGCCAAGTTAAATATATTAGCAAAACATTTAACTGTCCCCTAACATCCAAAGGTAGGACAAATGGGACCATCTGTGATTATAGCCTATCATCTTTAATGATCCCTTTTCTTACACACAAGTGCATCGTCTTTAATAGCAATAAACTGAGCTCGACTCTGGAACACAAAAGAGCTATGCATGGTGGCAAAGGTTTATAATCCTAGCATTTGGGAAATGGAGGCAGGATTTTCAAAAGCTCAAGGCCAGTCTGGGCTCCAGATCTAGACTCTGCTCCAAAAACAAACAAACAAACAAAAACAAAGCAAAACAAAAAACAGAAATATAAGATAGAGTGGTTTTATGTTGACTGAGTAGTACCATATGCATACATGAAAAGTTCATGGCAATTTTAGAATCAACATTAACCAAAACAACCAATAAAGAATTATTTAAAGTATTCTTTGGACAGGGATAAATTTGGAATTACTAATTCTGAGAATAGGGGGAGTGGTCTTAATCCAAAAATATCTTGAAAAATTACCTGGTAGGGAATGTAGAATCATAAGCAAAGCTGAGCAGCTCCTGGGGATAGCCAATAGAAACTAGTCTCTCCACAGTAAGCTCAAAGCCAAGGGACTCATATTCTGGGGACTTGTACACTGCACAAAAAGAAGGTTCTCATTAGCCAGAATACAAAGCAGCCCATTAAAAGAGAAGGCAAATGAATGAGTTTCTATGCTTTCTCAAGTCCTCCTTTTCCTCAATTTGCTATTTTTCTTCTTTCCCCTCAAACTCTATGTTCTGTACTGCTCTGAGCAATTAAGAGAATTCAACTGTTAGTCTGTGGAAATAGGTCATATTATGTCAGGAGCAGCAGACAGAAGAATTTTAAAACATTCAGAACACTGCTTTCATTCTTACACAACCTATTCTAAACATTTTTTCCCTCTATTCTTTCATTTCCCACAATCCAAAGGCAGGAAAAAACCCTAATAATAAACAGCTATGACATTAGCTAAGAAAATATAAGTAAACAGAAAACTAAGCAAGAGAATCTATATTCGAAGGGTTTCCTACACAACTGATGTAGCAATATTCAAAATAAGTTTTTTTTTAAAAAAGCATTTCCAGAATTCCTCTTTGGCTTAGCAGTTGCTTTGTACTCTTCCAATCAGCATATTTGTTCTACTTCTCATATTAATTTGTTTTCTTATCAGCCCTAATAACATTCTAGCCTTCACAATTGCATTTTATAAAGTATTATTGCAAACAAACCATAAAAAGACATGTCTAAGACAATTAGGAATATCTGCATGTGAACTAGAAATTAGTCATTGAAGAATTATGATTCATATTAGACATAATTGTGGCAGGTGAGTACATGCAAGTGTATTAAAAACATTTCTCCTTATCTGAAGGAGCATACTGTTTGTTACATTACCATTATGGGAGTTTCTCTCTACTACTGTGTCTGAAATTTTCATAATGAAAAAAATCTTTTTAGAGTTATTACTGCAGTTCACCAAAAAGAAACTGTCACTCCTTTAACATGCTTCTTCCAAATAAAATATTTAAGTTAGCAACCTTCCACCAATGTCTAGGAGTGGGTAAGCCACATTAAAAATAAGAATAAAATTAAAAGACCTGCTCATTTGCTAAATGCCAAGTGAGACAAAAATATCTATCCCATTCTTACAGTGTCATCACAATGCAGCTTTCACTGTACTAGCAACAGTTCTTCCCTTCTACTATTGAATCTTTAGCCTTCAGCTCAGATTGACTTTTCATTGTACTTAATCTGCATATTTAAGTTAGTACTGATATTTTAGTGAAAAAAAATTCTACTTTCCCTTTCCCAAAGCAATCTTTAGAAAATTTCTGGAAGTATATAAAATAAATCAGTAATAATGACTGCTTCCAAACACAGTGAGTGGCTATGTTACCCAAGGAGAATTTCAGATATCTTTAAAGCTTGCAACATACTGATATATTTATCTATTTTTAAAACCAAATTGAAATTTTTAAAAAGCAAGTTGGGCTTTCAAAAGTCCTTTAATAAGCATCATCAGAGTTAAAAAATTAAAAAATAAAGCCTACATTTTGAAAGCCTTTTAGGAGATGCCTGAGTTTCATCTCAGAACAAGGCCAAAAGAAGATTCTTGTTTCTTTTGTTGTCTTGGAGGTAATGATGACTGAATGTTAGTGCTAAGTCTGGATAACATTTTCAAAGTGGCTATATTTCCTCACCTTAACCCCTGCTTTATCCTCCCCACACAACCCCCCAAAAACAAAATGTTGAAGCCTTAACTGCACAATTCCTGAATCTGTATGATGTACACTGTGGTAAAGGAAGTGACACATGTTCATACATATTAACAGAGTAAGAGCTAGTGACAGGCCTGCTACCCACTGATGTTAATTTGAGTTATACTGAAAATAGAAACTAACACCTCTCACTTTACTGTCCCCCATGCTCTCACCCCAGTTGCAAGTAAATCTCATTTAACAAAATTTCTGTAAAGCAAAAATTACTTCTCCATCCCAATCAAAGCTCCATTTGTTTCAAACAATATTTAATGAAATAAAATTCCAACGTAGTTATTTGGGTAACTTATTGACATTCATTATTATAGGATCTGGCCCATATAAAATGTTTTCAAGTATTAATTTTCAAAAGAATAATTTGCTAAATAGCCTTAAGTATGGGGAACAAAAACCAAACCTTAATCACCCCCATGAAGCTCACCCCAAAAATCAGCAAGTTCCTAGTTAGTGAATCAGGTAACAACTAACAGTGATGGAGTACCTGGTGACTGAAATCTAAGTCTATGTGTCAACTAGGACTAAAGCTCAAATTCGGAATTTTTAGTAAAAACAAAAAATGCAGGGAAAAATATCTCCAATCTCTACTTTGCCAGTACAAATGCCATTGTAGCAGAAAATGAAACACTATACATTTGCCACACTGTATTTATCCAACAGGCAGAACTTCCCAAATGTTCAACTGAGGAGACTTTCTACAAATCCAAGTACAGAAATTGACACTTTAAATTTTCTTTTTCTCAGTGAGTATGGGGGTACTTCACAGAAATAGGATGTATCATCTCCATTTGCTCACCTGAAGTTGAATACAAGTATCAGCTGATGCCAAAATTTAGGTCTCTCTGAGTCTGATCTGAAACTCTTTGTGATGGGGTATACAATCACTGGTATGAATCTTTAGATTGCACAAGCCATCAAAACTTAAGCTTGGATGCTGAAATGTATTATTTTCCCACCAGTTTCTTTCAGCTAGTCCAAAATAAACTTCTCTAGTTTCAGGTGGGAATGGATTTACCAAAGACAGTCCAAGTTCCATTTTGACAACACTATTTCATCAAGCTCTACATTAATCAGCAAGACCTACAAGCTATTGACATTTTCTCATAAGCTTCTCGGATAATCATTTCAGCAACACATACTCCCAGGTCATTAAATCATCTGCTAGAAAGCTATACAAAATTCACCCAGGGCTGAGGGAGCAGAATTCAGCTGCAGGAGCATGAACTTAGATGTCTTATTCTAAGTGTCCTTTGGGAATTAGACACATTTGTTCTGACCTGGTTGCAAAAATTTCTGAAGCTTACAAAGTATCTTTTAAAAGTAAAGATTAAAAAGCAAAATTTCTTTTTTTAATCAACCAGACCCTCAAAGCCAGCCTTAGAAATTGCAAGGAACCATATCTATCACCTCACAAAGTAGAGCTCCATACAGCTCTTTTTCAGTTTGTTTTTTTTTCCCACAAAACTGTGGCAAGTAAATGATGCACAGCTTCAAGCTCAACTCTTACAACGACTTTCCATGGTTCCAAAATCTAGCTATCAGCTTCAAAATAAATATAACCTCACACACTAACTGCTTACTTATTCTCCAAAGAGGTCCTAAAGCCTACCCCAACTTATCCAATCCAATATGTAAAGACAAAGGAAGAAACTGTTTTAAGGGCCAGAGTCCAAAAAAAAAAAAAAAAGGACTGTTTCAGCCCCTAGGACAGCACACAGTGTTCTCAGGTTATGTAACTAGACTAATATAAAGAGAACAACCAAAGCTTTCAAAGTTGAAGCTTACTGAGAGCATTTAAAGATATTCTTTACTCCATAATCTGTAAGAAAAAAACACCTCTTCAAAAATAACTATGCGTTGTGGGAATGAGAAGTTGTGAGCTTTGTTTTCAGTAGATGCTGTTTATACAAGACAGAGTTTATGTTAAAGGAGAAAGTTCCTTTGCAATGAGCAGAAACTTTCTGCATGGAAGTTTGAAATTCTCATGCACTTTTTACCTTTGCCACCAAGACATACTGTGTAGTAGCTTACAGATTTTAGAAAAATAAAAGGCAAACCTCTACAGAGGTTCCAGCCTAGCAGAGTGCTGCTGCCAAAATGAGAACTCACATGAGACAGATGCAGATGCAGTGTGTGTCACTCCAGTCTTGAAGGAGTTACACTGGCTCTCCTGTTAAAAAACAAAACAAAGCAACAAAACAAAACAAAACAAAAACAAAAGCTGGTTTTAAAACTGTTGTGATGGGCTGGAACAGAGAGATACCATTTGGAAATTGGTATTTACAGGAGTTACCGCTGCCCTCCAAGTTAGAAGCCTCTGGTCACTACTAAAATTAGACCTAACTGGCCTTAACAAAACAAGGGTATGGAAGATATACCTAACTACTGTGTATTATGTATTTTTCTGACACCCTGAGTCTGGAATACAAGTCAAGACTGATCCTGAAATGTGAAGCCAACAGAGAAACAGAAAAAATCCATTTGTCTTATTTTCTCTAGCACATTTTAGGTTAGTATGATAGAAATTGAATGCAGCTGGTAAATGGTGATTAAAATTAAACCATGGCTAGTGAGACAGATTAAAGGATATAAAAACAAACCAAAACAATCTTATCTTGCTCTTAAGTGTCCATTTAAACTGAGTCTACATATCAATTTCTCTACTCTTCAGTACCTAAATCTATCATCTTGGTATGCACTAGAGCCAACTACATGTTACTAAAAATCTAACCAGAGTCTATATTTGGAATGGAAGGAAAATTTTAAAATTTGATTCTGTCAGTATTTGTGTGATAAGCAGTTACAATACTCTACTTCACAAAGTTAAGATACCACCTAGTCTAGTAAAATAACTGATTTTAATATACAGATGCATGTCCTATAATATCTAACTTTGTATGTAGTCATTTTTTCCAGGGACATTTAAGTTTTTTAAATATGTGAATGGAATCCTCCAACTCCTGGATATTTTTGTGAATGGGAGATAGTACTCAATAGAAGAGCAGAAATGATCAAATGTAGTATGTTAAAATACTAAAAACATTATAACTAAAAAGCTCCAAGACTACCACGAAAAACAAAGTCCAAGCAAGCAGCCGGCCATGGGGTGGAGATGGGAACTGAAATTCAAGGCCAGCCTGGGCAAAAGTTCTTCAGACCATCTCAACCAACTGCCAGGTGTGGCAGCCTGTGCCTTACCTCAGCTAAGCTAGAAGGCAAATAGGAGGACTGCAGACCAGGCTGGTTAGGCATAAAAAACAAGATCCTATTTGAAAAATAACCAAACCAAAAAGGCTGGAAGCATGATTCAAGTGGTAGAGCACCTGCTTAGGAAGCA